CCGGAGGAGCCTGCTTCGCCGGAACCAGAGCGGGCTTGCGCGTCGTTCATCCGGGACCCACATGGGAGAGGAGTCGGGGGGCGACGACCGGAGCCGGAGCGGTGGGAGGGGGACCCCCTTCCAGCATGGAGGTCCATGACCGCCTGCTGTAAGTGTGGCCAGTTGGGCCACATAGCTAGGAGATGCCGCAACAGCACCGGATCGTCCACCTCGCCTTCAACGTCCTCCACCCCGCCGACATCCGCTTCCTCAGCCTCGCAGGCAGTTTGGGTACTACAGGCCAAATATTGGCAAAAGTCCGCGTTGGGAACATTGAGTTGACGTGGCCGGTGTTGGTCTCCAGGACATTGGCTGTGTCCTGTCATTTCTGCACCGATTTTCTCGGGAGAATGCCCCTTAAGATTCTTGTCAATCAAGGCTGTGTTGAATTGTCGTCGGGACAGCGGTTGGGCTTTTTGAAGTCTCCAACTCGGTTAGCAAGAGCTAATGCTACAGTTCAGGCCCTAGCGAGGGAAACTGTTATGGTTCCGCCAGGTGCACAGATGTTAGTGCCCTTACGGTTGCGGAAGCACCTGGATTTGACGGATTCCGATGAAGGGGTCCTTTTAACCCCCTCTAATACAGCAACTCGGGGTCTCGCATTGGTGGGTGCTCAGACCATAGTGAGGGTGGACCAGGAGTCATTTTTGCAAGTGCTAAATGTGGGGGTGTGGGCTGCGGTGGTCCAAGCTGGTACAGTTTTAGCCCACGCAATGGCCGCGCACTGTGAGAAGGCCTGCACGGAGGCTGCAGAGGTCGTTGGCGCGGTGGAGCTGGGAGGCGAGTCGGACGGGGCTTGGATGGACACATTGTGTGGGGAAAATTCTGATTTGTCGAGGAAACAGTGGGGCGAGCTGCGTGCCCTGCTATGGGAATTTGCCGATATTTTTAGCCAGGGGAAATTTGATATTGGCCGCACTTCACTATTGCAACATCGCATAGATACGTGTAACACAGCTCCAATAAAGGTATAATTCGTATAGGCTCAGTCCAAGGGAGAAAAACCATGTTCGCCAGGCAGTTGACGAGATGTTGGCTGCGGACATTATTTCCCCCTCTACCAGCCCGTGGGGGGCTCCCATTGTTTTTGTTTAAAAATGGGATGGCAGTCTGCGATTTTGCGTTGACTTCCGCAAATTGAATACAATTTCCGTGGCGGACGCTCCCTCGGATGGATGACTCCTTCGACGCCTTGTCGGGTACGCGGTTCTTCTCGACCCTCAATTTGTTGTCGGGGTTGTGGCAGCTGCACTTGGATGAAGAATCCAGGCGTAAAACCACGTTCCGAACACCACAAGAGTTGTTCCAATTTAATTGCCTCCCAATGGGGATTCATTCCGCTCCTGCCACGTTCCAGCGGCTTATGGAATTCGTCTTGGCAGGTCTTAAATGGGACTCGTGCCTCATTTACCTGGATGACGTCATTGTATTCGGGCGCATGTTTCAGGAGCATCTGCAGTGACCGCGTTCAGTATGTCAAGGTGCAGGCAGCAAATCTCAAATTTAAACCACAAAAGTGCCATCTCTTGAAAACATCGGTGTGGTATTTTGGCCACATTGTTAACGAGTCTGGGATAGCCACGGATCGCGACAAAACAGCGCGTGTGTGCACATGGCCAACCTTCAAGTCAGTGGGTGAAGTTTGCAGCTTTGTCGGGTTCACGTCGTATTATCGCCGGTTTGTCCTCAAGTTCACAACGATCGCAAAACCGCTCCACGCGCTCACTGCTAAGGGCCAGAGATTTCAGTAGGGGGAGGCCGCGTTTGTCGCGTTGCGTGGTCTTGTCAACACGCCTCCCCTCGGCTACCCCGATTTCTCTCTGTCCTTTGTGTTGGACATGGATGCCAGCAACACCGGAATTGCTGTGGTGCTGTTCCAGGTCGTGAACGGCACGGAGGTGGTGGCCTACGGGAGCCATGTGTTGTCCCCCGCAGAGCAGCGCTACTGCATGACGCGCAGATAACTGCTGGCCATAGTTCACTTAGTGCAGCAATATAGGCCGTATCTTTACGGACGGGACTTTGTCATGCGGACACAGACCATGCGGCCCTTCAGTATTTCTTATGAATTGACCAGCCTTCTGGCCAACTGTCCCGCTGGTTAGAAATTTTGCAGGACTAATCATTCACGGTCACCTACAAGAAGGGTGTGCGGCACTGCAATGCAGATGCGCTGTCCCGTTTACCACCGAGTGACCAGTGTGTGTGCTTAATGGGTGCCGGTCAATGTAAGCCATCGGCTGCGGGATCGCCACACGCTGTGGTGGCGTCTGTCGATGTGCCACCACTCGCGGCAGATGCACATAGTGACGGCACATTGGGTCTCACGCACGCTGAATGGGTACGCCTCCAGATGGAGGATGCCACCTTGTTGAAATTGCGGCGTCGCATTGGTGCGAGAGGCAGTAAAAACGTGCCAGCAGGGATGCTCCTTATAGTCCTCCATGAAGGACTTTTGATGAGATGGGATGAAGAGCTGTAGTGTTACTGCTCTGCGGGGTAAACTCACACGGGCGGTCCATGAGAAATTAATGCACCTCGGAGTCCGTAAAACCTTGCTAACACTAAAGCGTGACTTCTATTGGCCCGGGATGACGGACGATGTATACCACATGGTAAAAGGTTGTACTGACTGCGCACGCCGCAAGCCACCGTCGAGGCAGGTCCAGCCTCTGTTACAATCTATCACGGTCTCTCGTATCAATGGGCTAGTTGCTCTGGACATTCTCGGGCGGTTCCCCACCACTCAGAGGGGTAATACATTTCTCCTGGTCGGGGTGGAATACCTGTCCCAGTGGCCGGTGGCATGGTCTCTGCCAGACCAGTCGGCCGCATCCATTGCGGATGCGTTTTGCACGGCTAAGTCATGGATAAGGGGGCTCCTGAACAACTTCTTACAGACCAGGGGCGGAATTTTTCTTCTAAATTGTTAATGGCGGTGTGCGACTCCCTGGGAACAAAAAAAAATCAGGACTTCGCCCTACCATCCTCAGACGGACAGGATGGTGGAGCGCTTGCACAGGACCCTTACATCCATGTTGTGCCAACAAGTTAATGAGGCGCAGTCGGACTGGGACTTGTACATTCCCGGTGTCCTGGCCACATATAGGATGGCCCCTCACGCCTCAACAGGATTCTCCTCCATTTTACCTCATGTATGGGAAAGAGAGTGATCCCCCCATAGAAGCTCAGCTGGGCATGGATTTGGGTAAGAAGAGAGCCATCATGCCCATGCAGGTCATGTTTAGGCATTTGACGGAGGCGTGGGAGGCGTATAAGGGAAATTTGGCCAAACGGCAGGCCGCGAATGCGAAGCTCGTAGGACAACGGGAATCCGGGACCCCATGGAACGCTGGAAACAAGGCTGGCTGCATTGTCCCCAGGTGCCCCTGGGTACATCCCCTAAATTACACCGGGCACGGCAGGGCCCTGGTGTAAGTTCAAGAGGCCGCAGTGCGTATGTATACAAGTCGGTCGCCGTCGCTGGTTTGTGCACCCGTCATCTCCATCTCTAGAGCGGCGGGTGTCTGATGTGTTTGGCGAGTTGGGGCGAATGAGCCCGGAAGTTGCTCTTCAGGAGGATTGCATTGTACCGCCCGCAGGAAAAAAGCACCTGAAGTCCGGAAATCCCCCGACAGCGTCTCCGTGTGATGGCCCGCATGTGGAGGCCCGGTCGCCATCTTCTTCTCCCAAGGAGGGACCACACCCTTTAGGTTGTTTGTGTGATGTCCCGGTGGTCCCCAGCATGCAAGTTCCTGCTGGAGATGGGGGACCGGCATCAAGGACTCGCTCTAAGAGCGCTTCGTTCTGCTGAACCGCTCGCTTCCCGTTGTTCAATTGAATTCTGATGTTGTCTGGTGGGTGGCCGCAGCCACGCGCTGGACTGTGGCTTCCGGTTGATCCGAGGTCCTTCCCGATGCTTGTGGGCTGCGGCACGCCAGCGGACATCGGGAACTGATACGCTTCCCTCGCGGTTCGGGGTTAATAGTTAAGGGTTTTTTTTTTCTGATGTCCGTTAACCCTTCCTGTTAGGCAAATTGCGTTAGCACACATTATTGTAAGCCTTCCCCCTCTCCTTATGTGATTGTTGTCAGTGAAGACGGCTGTTTTTTTTTCACGAGGGGAGGTGATGTAGTGGCATAGCGCTGGCTGCTGGTGAAAAAGGGGAACTGCGGTGTACGGCAGTACTGAAGTCAGCAGGCCATGATATACACGAGAGGGGGAGATCTCGGGGAAAAGTCACAGTCGGGGCCCGTTGGGAAGCCTCGGGAACCCGCTGGTAGGTTCCAAAAAGGGGGTCGTGGCCGGGATGGAGTAAGGCCACGCGAAGAGTATAAGAGGGGCCGCTGTGGGGGACCTCGTGGCTGTTGCTGGAAGTGGGATCCCCGTGGTGCTGCTCAAGTCCATTGTCACCATTCTTCTCGTTGTCGTCTCTGTTTTCACCATCCCAGGGTGCTCTTAGTCAGACAGCCTACCAACTGTTCTAAGTAGTGCCGCCAACAATAGACGGTCTCAAGTGAACACATTAACCTTATGGGTATGACTATCTGCTCTTGACTGTTTTTGTGGGAACGTGCTGATGACATCACACCACCTATGCCCAAGACTGCAGAAGAGCTTCACAATTCTGGAAGTGGCCTGATTGATCATGCTGTGGTTGCAACTACTAGCAAAACATCATCGCAAATTGTTGAATGTTGTGGTTTTCTTTCCGACATACCGGTGTGCAGAAAAAAATATTGGCCCATTTTCTCATGCGATAACTTTATTTGGCTGTTAGGTAGAGGAGAGTTTGCTACACGCATTGGCATTTTACTCACGATTTTACCAAAATTCAATTATGAACCATATTGGTTGTGTGAAAGCCTAAGTGTGAATTTACCTAAGTGTTACATTCGCAATATAAACAGTATAGTGGGTACTATATACAATATATCATTGCAGTGTGCTGTATTCATTACCTGTGGGCTTATTTACGCCAAGGAAGCCAGCATCCCCCAGAGTTTTGAAAATCTGTCGCGCTGGAAATTTTTTCTCAGCCTCCCACTTGTCCACGTGAGGATTAATCTCCTTTTCAATCAACTGCAGCGACACAGCGGTAACATAGAGTTGGCATCGGATCAAGAGAAAAATGTAACTTTTGTCAGGCATCAGACAAAATTTACGATCAAGTAAAAGCAAAATCATCAAAGTTTTGTTTCATGTTTAATTGAAGGCAAAAATCTAAATAATCTCCTGCTGCTAAAATTAGCATTTCTGTATTGGTTGCTCATCTCCTGTTTCCAGCCCTAATCCAGTACTGTACATTCTACGTTTCTATGGTGGACACAAGTTTCCAGCTGCTATTGACTTCCCCACAAAATCTCCCCTAAAGGATTGATGAACTGAGTCAACCCCCAAGCAGGATTTGAACTCACAAGCTGCCAATTGCAAGCTGCTTGCTCTACCACCGAGCCACCTGACCGAATAATAGTTCACATGCTACGACAATAGAGTGCAGTGATGTAAGAGGTATATGGCGAGTGGTAAGTGTGGTGCACGGCATCAGGTCGGTGTCATACCTATTACTTTATCACAGTGTATACATTTGCATCTCTAAATCACATGATGAGATGGTGTATGTGCTATGAAGGGCTATTGCCCGAAATGCCACTTAGATTTTTTTTCCTTTTAATGCTGCAGTGTGATTAATGGAGGTGTTCAGTTATTTGTGCCTGTGTACTACTACCAATGTAGCATCATCAAACCATGCATGCTATTCTGTTTGTGTGTATATCTCCACGATGAGGTGTAGGAATGGTGGCTACAGTCAGTTGCACAGGTCGTACAATTCTAGATTTGAAGCTTTCGTGACTGCAAGGATCCATACTCTTTGGTTCTATTCAGTAAAGTCACGTAGGTAAAAAAATAAAACAAAAATCACGACGTTTCGGCCACAACACAAGCGGCCTTCATCAGGTGAAGGGACCAGACTGTCTCGAGGACAGCGCTGGAGTGAACACAGCTAAGCTCAGACCGCGACCTTTAAGCTGTGTGAGAGGAATCAAGGTGCCTTGACAAAGGAATTAGCATAAAAATTAGCATTTAATTGGCAGACTTAGCATGATGAACGGTGTAGAGGGGGTGAACATGTGCAGGTCGGCGAGGGGGGGAGGTGTGAAAAGGGAAGAAAAGGGAAGCTGCGAACGTTTGGCGTACCACTACTTGAAAAAATATACTGTACCATTGAAAATTTATGTAATGTTTGGTTCGATTTAGAACATCTTTCCAATGGTTGCTTCATTTGAAACCATCTTCTCGGTTGAATTGTGTCTGTGTTTGTAAATCTGAATTGCCTCGTGAACAAATCTCTGATAAAAACCCGTGGGTTTGCAAAGAACCTTGGTATCGGAGAAGAGTATGGATACTTGCAGTCACGAAAGCTTTAAATCTAGAATTGATAGCCTCTAGGGGGAGGGTTTTCACCTATCTGTTAGAGCTTTTAACAGACGAGACAAGAAGTCACAGCTCATCGAGACGCTAACTTTCCTCAAAAGATGCCGCGACCACAAGGTAATACCCATCGCCTTCACACTCACTTCTGCTGCTGTGTCCTCACCGAATTCTAAACAGATTCTGTTTAAGACCAGCCTCTCTTTAATCTCAGAGAGAATAAGACTACTCCGTTTTGAACTCGATACTTTAGACAGCACTCTCCTACAAGCTCATTTAACGTTAACACAAAAAATGTCACCTTCTGATTGGAACCACGTAGACAACATGACTGCTTCTTCTGCCGATTCACTTTCAATCAAATGCAAAGCTAACCTAATTGCTAAATTCAACCACCTATCAAAGAAAAACCCGGTTCCACAGATCACAAAACTAGACGTTAACAAAATTGTTATCAATCAGAGTAGCACCCCGATTTCGGACAATCTGAAAACAGTTTTGGCTAAAGAACTAAATTTTGCTGTCACCCCAAAACATATACCGATAGATGATATCATTTCTCAGGTCGATGTAGCCCTCAAAGGTATAGGACACATCCAAGCAGACGTCGCGAGAGCTGAAATAGCTATTCTTAAAAATGCTAAGAAACCAGTTAGCAACATCAGCAAAGATGAACGCTCTGAACTCGCGAAATTAAAAGAGAGACATGATATAGTCATCTTCTCAGCCGACAAGGGCAATGCCACTGTAATTATGGATGTCTCTGACCGAATTCGCGAGCACAAATCAGATTTGAAACACGGCAGAACGAATTCTTCTGCCGTAGCTGATCACTGTTACAACGCTGTGGGTGATCACGATATAATTTTCTCCGATACCAAGGTTCTTTGCAAACCCACGGGTTTTTATCAGAGATTTGTTCACGAGGCAATTCAGATTTACAATCACAGACACAATTTCAACCGAGAAGATGGTTTCAAATTAAGCAACCATTGGAAAGATGTTCTAAATCGAACCAAACATTAAACTAATTTTCAATGGTACAGTATATTTTTTCAAGTAGTGGTACCCCAGACTTTCGCAGCTTCCCTTTTCTTCCCTTTTCACACCTCCACCTGTTGTATATATAGGTGTTATGAAAATTGATACAAATAATGGAAATTAAATTAAATTTGCATAATTTATCCGAAATTATGTTAATTGATGTAATTATGCGCATAAATTATGCGGATTCAAGAGATAATCGTGTTGATTTATGCGAGTGGGCGTGGTTATGATAATGTAGGTCATTATGGATTATCAGGTCGAGCCTCGGTGACGAGGATTGTATTATGAATTGGGATAACGCAATTGATTGTATGCAGTTCTGTAGGTGTTGTGAGCATGAATGAGAGAGAGTCGATTCGACTCTGCTCTTTAATTCCGTATTATCGATAAGGATACGATTACTCTCGATTGAACATTATGAATTATGTGTGTTATGGATTATGTGTGGTGATAGGTCCCCTCAAGGTTCAGATCTCATACGCAGAACAATCTTATTCAGAATTTCAAGAAGAATCACGCACAAACCTTCTGCTTTAATCAATTTTATTTCCTAGCTAACTTTAATTTGTGGATATGAAAACTCTCGATCTTGGAATTTCAACACAGCGTCAACATGATACCATCACGATTGCGTTGTTTCACCTCGATAGCGGCACCTGTGGTTAATTCCCGACGCGTAACGCAATCGATCGGTTGTTGAGAGATTAAACATGCATAACTATTCTATCAAACTTTAACTCTATTATATGCAAATTCGTATACTTGAATTATTACACAACACGGCACTCGGTCTTTGATTCTTATCCAATCCTTAACACATTCTGATATGCGAAATTATTATGCTTGAAATCGTCAGCACAGTACCACGGCGATGTTCGTTCATTGATTCATCAACGATTATGCAATTAAAGCGTTCGACTGAAATACTTCTGATTGCCTCATCAACGTAACCCAATGGGTGGCGATGTTTTTCGTTATCAGCTAATAGTTGACGCAGTTATCATGAGTCTTGTATGTTTAATGGGAGCGTTGTTGATTTCTTGCATTGAGCAAACGCCTAGGTTGATTTCCTTGTCAAAAAAAAAGTTTGTTCGTTGTGTAGCGGTGGGGGAGTGAGGAGGGGGGGAGAGTGTGGGGGGGAGGGCATACGAACGGCTGCCAGTTTCTGTCTACCGCTGGCTGGATGAGTCAGCACGACGCTCGCCGTCGTCGCGCCGATGGGTGTTGAGTGCGGGGCCGCTGCCCTCTCAGCCCTGGTGACGCGAAGTTGCGCGCTGTAAAACGCTGGTGGCACGCTGTTGGCACGCGCTGGTGCTGATGCTGGTGCTGATGGCACGCTGGTGGCGCGCGCTCCCTCTCCTTGAAGATGCACGAACGCGCCCGTGCTGGTTCGCTGACAGCAGTTTCCTCCACTGCTGGATGAGCTGCGCCGGCACGCGCTCTTTCCGCTGCTGTAGTATCTGACGCTGCGCTCGCGGGCGACAGGTCAAGTTTTTCTTCTGCTGAGTGAGCCGAGTCGCACGCGCTCTCTTTGTTGAGGTTGTTGGCGGCTCTCTGACAGCAGGTTTCCTCCACTGCTGTATGACTCAAGTCGCACGCGCTTGGTCACTGGTTTGCTGAAGTTGTTGGCGGCTGCCCAAGCTTTTCCGCTGCTGGTTGAGCCACGTTGCACATGCTTTCTCTGTGGAGATGCTCGAGCGCTCTCAGCGCTGATTCGCTGATACTTTGTTGGCGGCTGGCCAAGCTTTTTCTTCTGTTGAGTGAGTTGAGTCGCACGTGCTCTCTCTGTTGAAGTGCGCGAACGCGCCTGTGCTGGTTCGCTGACAGCAGGTTTCCTCCACTGCTGTATGACTCACTTTTGTTGATACATCGCGACTCAGCGATCCTCGCTACTCAGTGCCAGCCGTTCCATGCGACTGCTCGTCTTGTGGACGTCTTGAATCGCTGATCTGTCTTGACTGAACTTTTTGAAAATGCGCTGACCGTTATATTCAAAGACATTCTTCTCTCTGTGCAGTAAAGGGGGGCGTGGTCTGTGTGTGTGAGTTCGTGTGTGTGTGTGAGTTTGTGTGTGTGTACAGATGGCTCCTGCGATAACGATCTGTTTGCCCTGGCGTGAAATTCCTCTCTCGCGAAATTCCTCTCACGCTCTGCGGGAGAGACAAAGATGGTCCGGAGCACCTTCTCCTCTCTATACTTTGAGTTAACATCGCTCAAATACCATTTGGTCCCATGTTCACCAAGACTCGTGTTTGTAACTACGTCCTCCCGATGCACCTCTAGGGTTACCGAGATTCGCATTATGATGGAATTATTAAAAAGAAAAATAATTTTCATCCTGAGTTTAAGAGGTCCGTTTCCAGATTGTTGGAATCCATATCCCTTGGTTCTGTAAGGTTCTATAATGGAATATCATTTAAGGTTAACACGTTATTATTAATGTTATATTGCAATTTTCTTTAAAACTTTGTTTGCCTGGTTGCCGTGTGTGGGGTGGGGTGTGTTTTCTCATTAAACCCGGCTGGCTTTTCCAGATGGCCCCTTGTGATAAGGTGTGGTTCCTGCTTCTCCGCGCTGCGAGAGAGACAAAGGTGGTCGGGGTT